TTGAAAAGAAGAGGTTCGAAACAGAGGTGGAAGAAGAATATGAGAGAATAAAAAAAAATGATTTGGGTTTTAACGAAAAATTGAGAAAATAGGAAGTTGAGAAAATGGAACATGATTTGAGGGTTTGCATTGAGGTCTTTGAGGAATTCTCTGCAGGGGTTTTAGGGTTTAAAACTCAATTTTCATCATGCAGAACTGCAGATTCAATTCCAAATACATTCTCGACCAAGTACGACGACGTTTAGAGCAGATAGCCATATAAGCAGCGATGCCGTTTCTGGAACAACAAACTTCTTAAGGGTGGACTTTTTATTTATTGGTCTATTTTATGTTTTTATTTTCTTATAGATGATGCAATTTATGATAATTTGTATTTCTTTCCATTTTAATCCTTATAATTTACCGCTAAAATTGGTATATGAAATTTATAAATTATTTAGATTTTAACCATTGTTAACATTAATAAACTATAAATAAAAAACATGAGCATACAAAGATAAATTCAAGATTTTTTTCCCCATAGGCCCAAACTTACTGTATAGTATTTTTCCTTAAAATTTTATATATGGTAATGCCAATATTGCTTCGTTTATAAAATTGCAGCAAAAATAATATGTTGAGTTAAATCAAAATAATGTTCTATTAAAGCCTTTTCTTTTCTAACTTTATGATTAGTTCAAATGAATACTGAAATTAAAAATATAATATTATATCTATACATCATATGATTGTAAAATTAAAAAAATACTAGGATACTTTGTTTTAGATTGGATATCCAACAAAAGGTAATTAATCTGGATCTTATTTGTTTAATCATGTTAATTAGATATGATAAATCCATAAAGCTTGCGTTCTAACGAGAAAAACTGAAGTACTAGAGAAGGCAACAAATATATCCAGAAAATATACTCTTCTAGAAATTACACAGCCATTCTCATGTTTTGAGGCGCCTGGTTGGTATAGCCAGTAGATGCTCGGCCCTAGGACATACTAGACCTAAATCCTCAGCCATGTCCAAGTCCGTAGCCAACATATCATCCGGGAGTTCCCAATCATAGCAATGCACCAATTGTGCCACCACAAGCCGAACAGTAAACCCAGTTGCATTCCAGGGCAGCCTCTGCGCCCAGAACCAAATGGGATTAGCTGGAAGTTGGGTCCACGAAGATCAATGCCGCTTCCAACAAATCTCTCTGGATAAAACTTCTCTGCATCAGTCCAAACCTTTTGGTCCCGACCTATAGCCCCTGCGTTTATGAAGATCGTGAATTATTGGGTATCGGATAGCCAATCACTTTGCAGTCTTCCATACATAAATGCGGGAGCAGCAATGGTACCACTGGGTGAAACCTAAAGCTTTCTTTCACAACCATGTCTGAGTACATCAATTTCTCCAAGTCTGACTCTTCGACCATCCTCTCCATGCCTACCACATTTTCCAGTTCTTTTTGGACTTCCTTTGTCACCCGTAGATGTCTAATGAGTTCGGACAGTGTCCACTCAATTGCAGCAGCTGAAGTATCCATTGAAGCTACAAGCATGTCCTGCAGGAATTGTCATAAACATTTTTTAGACCAAAATTCACAATGGAGTGAATGGACAAGTAAGTGAGCACAAAAGAAGACTACCGATATTATTGCTTTCATATTATCCCGCTCCACATGGTACTCATCAGTTTCTTCTGATCCAATGAATCCTAGCATGACATCAATGAAGTCCACGATTCTGTTTTCACCTTTGGATTGAACAAGCTCACCAATTATCTTCTCAAAGAAGTCGTCAAAAACCTTGGCAATAGTTTTCAGATGCTTTGTTAGACCCTCAAGATCAAGTCCTTTAATTTGAGGAATGTAATCAGCTAAATTAAAAGCAGCAATTGTTTGCATGCCCTCTCGAATTATAGCTTCGAAGCCTTTTTTTTGAAATCATCATTATTATATTTCTTTCCAAGCACCATTCTACTAGAAATATCAGTACTAAGAGATGAGAACTTAGCGCTAAGATCAACAGCAACTCGAGCAGAAGCAGCCCCTTGAATATACTGAATTAAAAGAAGAAGCTCTTCCTTTCTCATGGAACTAAAAGAATCGATTTTGAGGCTCCTAAGCAACTCTAGAGTGCACAGCTTATGCATGTTGCGCCAATAGGACCCGTATGGGGAGGAGGACAAATTCTGCTGATTGTAACCAACATGCTTAGCACCTTCATGAGGTGGCCTGCTAGCAAAACAAGGTCATACGTCTTGAGGAATAGCTCGGGAGCTTCAGGGGATGAGACAACAATTACAGGCATCAGGCCAAAGCGTAAGGGAATTATGGGGCCATACTTGTGGGCTAACTGTTGATGATGTTCCCCATCATGGAAAGGTTTCCAATAGGAAGCCCTCTCGGACCAGGAGGTAATCCCTTATTCTTCTAATTCTCCCTTAATTTCCCCTTTTCTTTCTAATTTCTTCTATCTATATCTGATTTTACTTCTGACTTCTATACTCTTATCTGATTAAACATAACATGTTCATAAAAGTGTATGAAGTTATTTTTCTTCATGTATCTAATTACATAGGCATTCTTTAATGTGTTTTTAAAGCAATAGAGTATCACATGACAGCATTAGATCATTAACTTTTTAGGCATAGCTAGACTTGAACTAATCTTGGAGAATCTCCTATTTCCAAGTTATTTTTGTCAAACTATTAACAAGTCCAATAAATTGGAAAGAGTTGGAAAATTATTTTTAAGGAAATAAGTGAATCGAAAGAAAACAGAAAAAAAAAAGAGGAAAAGAATTTGTTATGAACAATTGAATATACCACTTAGCACCAGATAGAACAAAACTCTGCAAAGCCTTCAAGCAAAAATTGGAAATATATGCACCCGTGTTGTGTGTGTGTGTGTGTGTGTGTGTGTATACAATTTTGTGATTTGACAATGCCACACTAACCACATCATAATCCACCTTTTATCACTTTACCTTAATGCAATGGCAAAAAACTTTCCACATCAAAGAATCATAGAGAACATTAAGATACCAAGACTCGCAGCAGCAATAGGTTCAAAGTCAAACATGTCAAAGATATCATCTACAGGGCCTCCAAGCTCTTCTTCAACAATAGATATTGCAGTCTCTGACGGAAAAGGTGGAACTTGATCCTGCACATGAATAGCAATTAAATTCTTACCTATAGAATTTTAAATTTAGAAAACCATCTGGCCGGCAAAAACTCTTTCTCTTTTTGGGGAGGAAGTGGGGCCTATAAGTAATAAAAAATTATGAAATGATTTTGAACAGAACTTCTCTGTTTTGGATTTCTTTTAATGCCCTTCATCTGACCTATCTTGAATAAATTCTTCTCCAAGTAGAAGCTAACATCCACAATAAAAGAATTTCACCCGAAAGTATAAATTTTAAAGTAAAGGAACTTCAACCTGTAGCTCTGACAACTGATCAACATATTCTTGAGCAAAAATGTCAACCATCGCGGAGAACTGTTGGCCAACTTTGATGAAAATAGGGACCCAATCTCAAGGTACTTTCCTTTCACCACTTTGTCAAGGTCTTCCACCTTAGAACTTGCTTTTCCTCAGTCATTCCTCCTGCTTGTATGCAACCTTAAAACTGGATATATAACACCAAACAACTAGAAACCATAACGAACATTTATAAGAACTAAAGAAACCGTAATTAGAACAACACACTATAACAAAATTAGACTGCCCAAAAGCAAATTTAAAACTAGTCCTGCCTCTTTTGGCAAATGCCATGCAAACTAGATCAGTTGAACAAAGCATAGATTAGACCATGGTTGCTTTTAACCAGTAAAAAACAATAGCCAAGGTTATATTAGCCCTCTAATTCTCTTTCAGAAGAACAACCTTTCTTTTACCAAAACTTGATGACACAAAGTAATTTCCATACATTGATAAATCATAATTGACTTATCCATCACCTTAAACCACTTCTAGCTCATCAATTTTGAACCAACTGTTTGGCATATTCAATAAGTTTTTTCTCTATTAGATATAAGATTGTAATAGTGGGCTTGCCCACTACTTAACTTGGTTTTGTGCTCCCTAAAAAGCAATTGCTAGGTTCACCAGCTATCACAATTTAAACATTCAAAGGAGTTTATCTCAAGGACATAGGCCCAACCTTAAGCCACCCCTTAAACTTCCATATTCCACCATTTGGTGCAACTTCCATATTCCATCAACCATCTAAAAAGACAAAAGGCAAAATAACAAAGGATCTCAAGAAAATTTAATACCCTGATAATGTTACTGAATGCTGGATCATGTCAGTAATTCAAAACCAATTCTTTTCGCAAATTAGCAATTCTATTTATATATGCAACACAGGAATATTAATTCTATTCAATAAAATCCTTTTATCTAGTAAAACTATAATTAGGGTTTATAAAAGGTAAAACAATGAATTTGTCATGATGCATTCTTTCACAAATTCCATAAAATGTCACTTAGCATCATATGTCATGGATGAAATTTGGGATTTTCCAATTTTTACAATCTAAACAATTGTCAAAATGAAAATATGGGGCAGTTGCAGACAGTCATGCAGATGGACTTCATTATTTAACAGCTGCAAAACCATGAAGCAGATGACCTCTAACCTAACCAAAACCAATTGACATTGAGGCATACACTATCTACTTTTATTTTTGTTTCCTTTTGTTTCATCATGTGGAAGAAAGAAATGCTTTACTGTAAGACAAATTATATTTGCCAAGAAGACCAGAGTGGAAACAATACGTCTTTAAGAGCAAAAGAAAAAAAAAACCGCAAATCTAGCAGTCACTGACCTCTATCGGAGAATTTCTGATTGTTCAACCATGTCTTTATATAAAAGTTAGAACAAATCCCCATATTTCCAAGGTCCTTTGCATTGTTGAGTAGGTTTTGAATCTACTCCAACGCCCCGCAGAGCAACAGAAACCTTAGAGATTTATTGCCATAAGATGATGGTTAACACAAAATTAAAGGGGAACACACAAACACACCCAGACACATCCACAGCTTATACTTAATTAGAAAGCACACCAAAAAAGAGATGGTTGTGACACTAAAAAAGATTGATGCAGTCAGCTTAGCATATACTCTGTAAGTCAAGTAAATATCAAATATACATCAAAGAAAACGGTGAGAATGCACATCCAGGAAAAAGCACCTTGTTACTAGCTTAAATATGCTCCACCATTTTTGGTTCTCGCCCGACCAACTTGGGATCTAATATCATCTTCAAGATTGAGAGGTTTAAGAATTAAGAGGGGGAAGCCACCCCTTGTATAGCCCAACCATTGGACAAAATATGAACAAATTAATCAACTTCTCTATTAAATTTGCAAACTCAGATTTTGTTGTTAGTAGCCATACATAGTCCTCTTGACTGTCAAATAAGTAATAAGTTGAAAAGGAAAAAAAAATTGGTATATGTTACTGCCATGGTGTAAGTAAATCATAGGATTCTACAAGCTTTACCATTACCTCAGTATTGCATCAAGACTCAGCACTGGGTACACTTCTTTTTGCATTAGATATGAACGAGCTTACTGTACATATCCAAGTTAAAGTGCCATGATGTATGTTATTTGCGTATGATATAGTCTCAGTTGTTGAAACTAATCGATAATCTTAATGTGAAATTAGAATTATAGAAGCATATATTGAAGTCTCAAGCATAAAATTGAGGTAGATCTAAAACTCAATATATGAAATGTAAGTTTAGTATTATGGGAGCGAGTGCTAGTTGTGATTAAGTTGGATGGTGGGTAGTATCAAAGAGTAGTCATTTTTATATTTGGGATCAATTATTCAAAGGGATGCTGAGATTAAAATGGACATAAATCATATGATTCAAGCAAAAGGGTGAGATGGTGAAGTGCATTGGGTGTGTTATGTGAATTGCAACATAACTTTAAAGTTAAAAGCCGAAATTGTATAAACAATTGTAAGGCTTGCGTTGCTATATGGATCTGAGTGTTAGGTCGTTAAGAATATATAAGAAGAAAATGAGCGTAAGCTGAGATAAGAATGCTTAAATAGATGTGTGGCAAGACTAGAAGAGACAAAATCATAAATGAGAGATTCCAAAAAAATTAGGGATAGTCTGAATTGAACAAGGATGGGAGAGGGCCGTTTGAGATGATTTGGACATGTAAACCATAGGCCTATTTGTGCACCAGTTTAAGAGAATTGAGCTTCTAGATTTAGGTGAAACCAAAACTTCTAGAGGCAGATCACAAAGAATGATGCAAATAATAAAAAATGATATAAGTGTTAGGAAAGTAGATGAAAAGGGTGTTGTTGATATAAATAAATGGCGCAAAAAGATTCAAAACTACAACCTAGCATGATTCTTTTTTTGGCCTTTCATACAACTAACCCAGAGTTAATGCTATAAGGCCAGTTTGTTGTTGTTAGTATATACTTTTGCATCAGTCATGCAGATCTACAACCGATAAATTAAAGCAATGCTACAGACTCTGAACTAGTAGTACATTTGCTTAAAAAGCAAGCAAAACCTTCGCATCCAAATTTATTTTATTAAAGTGCAGATAAAAGAAATTTCATATATGTTAAATTTGGGTTAAATATAATAGACATGCAACCTAAAATCAATTAAGAATAAGTGGAGTGACCTTGTTATATTTATGCACCCAGATTAACCCCAATTTAATAGATTTGGGATTTCTTTTATTCCATTCTTATAAAAATTCAAATTCCATAAACCCTATATCTAACTATTATATAATAGCAGAAGCAACATGTATTTCAAAAAATTATGGCACCACTTAGTTGTTAATTTTGTTAATTGTTTTTTGCTCCGAAAAACAAAATGGAAAGATAATGTTTGAATACAAGATTAAATAACATATAATTTAGAAAATTAATCATACAAAATATCACATTTTGTAAAGAATAAATGCATAATCTACTTTATATTTTGAACTATTACGTTTAAAATTGTTGTATTTTAGTCACTTCAGTCATTTGTTGCCTCTGAATTAATATGGTTTCCTTTCTATCATTCGCTTTGCTTTGCAGTTTGCAGAAATTTTTAAGAATCAAAAAGCAAGGAACAACGAAATGAAAAACAACAACAAAACAAAAAAAATGAATTTTTTAATTCAATTCCAAGTTCCCAACTGAGTAAAACCAAGTACCTCGACCTGTTCTTCAGTGCTACGCTTGAACCAAGCCTCCTGTTTCCCAATCTCTTCTACCCTCTTCTTCCTCGTCTCCTCCGAAACTACTCCGTCTACTTCCACCACCAAAAACGTCCGCCGCCGCAGCACCATTCCCATTCCCGTTCACGTACTTCACCAAGCTCCCATTGCTCTCACTCTCCACCACTCCTACCCCACCACTGATAGATCCCTCAACTGATCCATTATTATACAGGTACTTACTTGCACTACCATTTCCATTCAATACAAACCTACCGTTAACTTCCTTGATAAATTCTTGCTCCCTTTCCTCATAGGCAACTCCTTCCTCTTTAAGAACTCGAACACGAGAACGCGAAACGACGCCGTTCCAGAAATGGCTATTCCCAGAGAAAGAGACTCTAAAGAGAGAAGAACATCTAGAGAGATAAAAGCGGTATTTTTAAGTTGTTCTTGGAGTGAGAAAGTGAAGCTCTTGTAATGGTAGAGATGAAGCCATTAATGTAACAGAATTATCTTTTTCTTTCAACAAAAAATTTGAATCAAACCCTAACTAACACCCAAAATTTTCATTATTTCCCCCTTTTTTTTTTTTGGTTAGTTTTAGAACTGTGAAGGTTTTGTGGTGGGAGAGTGAAGAGAAACGGACAAATTTTAAGAAAATGAAATGAAGAAGGAAAGAAGAAATAAAAGTGAAAAATGCGAGGAAGGAAATATATGTAATTTTAAAGAAAGAAAAAAAAAAGGGTGGAGATTAAGAGGACACGTGGCAGAGAAGTATCGAGAGAGTGGGTATTTTGAGAATTGTGATTGGAGGAGACTGTTGCGGGAGATGTCTTGGTCAGAAAGTCTCAATTGAGTATACGAAATTCAATTGTACTCTTTTTAGCTTACGTTAATTAATTTTTGTTTTAATTGAAGTTACTTTAAAAGAAATCTTAGACGCGTGTGTTGGATTAGAATTAAAATTTATTTCAGTACGAGATTGATTTTAATAAGATTAAAGTAATAATAAAAATATTATAATTATGATTAAAAAAATATAATAATTATAATTAAAAAATTTATTTAAATAAATTCATCAAAATTATTATTTAAATTTAATTAATAATAAAATAAATTTAACTCATCACATTAAAAATATAATGATATCTAACATTCACTTGTGATTTATTTGGATAAACGATAAAATTAATTTTAATAAAATTAAAAAAAAGATAAAAATAAAATTAAGATATGATAATGATAAAATTAAATATTATAAAATTGAGATTAAAATTAATGATAAGATATGTGTTTAAATGCAAACATAACGATGAAATAAAATATAACGAGAAGAAAAATAATCATTAAAGATATTAAATAAAAATTTGTATAATAAAATTTTAATATATTTTTTACATTTTTGAATTAATTTTTATAATAAATAATAAATTTATTAAAATTAATAAAAATAATAACAATTAAAAATTTTTTAGCCTTTTATTTTATTACTTAATTTATTAATTATATAAAAAATTTATTAAATAATTATAATGATATTATTTGAAAATATTTAAATAAAAAACTAAAATAACCAATAAAACAAATAAATAATACAAAAGATAAAACCATAGCATACAAGTGATACGGACATTTTCATCTCTGCACAGAAAATTTTAAGGGTAAAAAAAAAAAAAAAAAAAAAAGAAGAGGGAGCATGGGTAATAAAGGAAAGAAATGCCGCGATGAGAGTGAAATGTTTTTAAACCTCCAGTGCAATTGAAGAGCATGAAACGCACTGAATTGTGCTTTTCAAACACTTCATCAGTCCAGTGAAATGCTTCAACTAGATTTCAATGGAAGCTTCAGTTGAATCCAAAATGAACGCTTAGTCAGGTCAGCCTGTCAGTTGATGTTGAGCAGCCCTAAACTAACCCAAAAGGGGAAAACCTAACCCCGGTCTGGTGTACAAAGCATTGGTCACATGGTCAAGTTTCCAGATTTTACAAGGATTTTCTTTTTTTTTTCATTAATCAAAACCAACAAATGCAAATTTACGAGTCCAGACCAATGTATCATCAGCTCAATCCCTCACTTGTTGTCAAGTTGGTATGAATGTTAGTAATAATTATTTTTGAGTTAATATCATAAATAGAACCTATTATTGTATTTTTTAATGTGATATCTAAATTAAAAATTTTTAAATAGTTACTTAAATTTCATTTTTATTTATTAAGTTATTCCAATTTTAAAAATCATTAGAGTAAGTGCTAATTTGGCAGTCAACATTGACGTGAATTACATGTGATTACCATATGAGAATAATACGGATTCCACATGTCATATTTTAAAAAATAAAAATACAAAATTTTTTAAATAAAATAATTTAAAAATAGAAAAAAAAACATTTTTGTATTTTTTGTTTTCTTTTTTAAATATTACAAGAAACAATCACATCACTATCACATAATAATCACGTCTCATCCACATCACTGTTAACTACATTAAGGCTTATTCTAACGATCTTAGGGATTAAAATAATTTAATTAATTTAGATACCAATTAAAATTTTTTTTTGATTAAGTAGCACATTAAAAAAAAACTGTAATAGTTCACAGTTATTTAGGGTATTCTATCTAATTCTTTTATGTCTATTCCATCTTTGTTAGTCTCATACATGAAATCCATACCACATATGCATAATTGATGAATCATAAATTAAACATCACCATATCAAGCCTTTCTTTTCCTCCGAAGTGTTTTTTTTTTTTTTTTCTTCTTTTTGAAGACAGCTCTTTATTCATGACGAAGAAAAGCTGAACAAATTTCTCTCAAAATAGTTCAAAAACAAAAAATGGCATAAAATATAAATTCAGATCAAATATAAACTAAATTAAAAGACAAATTAGTATACGAGGACCATCTTGAATCAACATGAAAGCTCAAAAGTGGCCTTGATAAAGTAAAACCAAATTAAATAAAAACAGACTTAGCATGTTTTTTCTTCTCAAAAAGAAGTATGCAAAAGATGAGCCTTGTAAGCCATCAGCAGTTCCTCCACATCATCTGGAAACCTTGACATGAACTTCAAGAATTCATTCTCAGTATATTCCATGATGTAAAGAAAACTCCAATACATTTTCAACAACTCCTTCTACTTAATAATCTGCAAAACTCAATATTGAGGAATCACACGATCTCCCAAACTACTCATCAAAAGCATTGGCCTAGAAACAGACTTTTATCATGTGTTTTCTTCTTCTTCCGAAGAAGAAGTGTGCAAAAGATGAGCTTTGTAAGCCATCAACAGTTCTTCCACATCATCTGGAAACCTTGATATGAACTCCAAGAATTTATTCTCTGTATATTCCAAGATGGAATAAAAACTCCGATCCGTTTTCAACAACTTCTTGGAGTTAATAATCTGAAAAACTCGGTATCTAGGAATCACACGATCTTCCAAACTACTCATCAAAAGATTTGGCTTGTAAGCCAAAACATTCCGATCAAACTTTGCCACATTAAGAAAGAACTCAATTCCTAACTTCATTTTCTCCTCAGAGACCCTAAAAAAAGCTGGGTTCTTCCTAAACAAAACCAGGCAATGATTGTCTGAAAAACCAAAAGTCTTAAGTAATTCACATTTCTTCTTAAATGTTTGTTCACTCAAGCAACTCAAGGTATGAATACCGTGCACTAACATCCTCGAATCAGTCGAAATCCCCATATCTACAACCCTCGTAACGAGATCCCTTAATGCCGATTCTCGCATCCTAAAAATCCTAGGTTGTCTCATTAACAACTTTGAGAGCTGAGATCCAACAATCCCACAGCTTTCAAAATACTCAATGTTTCTCGACAAGTTTGATATGCCATCTCTAGCAATAAAACCATTGCATCTATTGAAGACCTTAAACAAGTCTTCATTATTATTCCCTAAAATTTTATTGACAAATTGGATAAAAGGAATCAACTTTTTATGTAAACTACAAGTTAAAAGCGTAGAATTCCTAGAAAAGAACTTACCCAGATGGGGTTCCACAAGACCCAGATCTTGAAAAAGCTTGATTGTTGGCCTAAGCTTCTTTTCTACATCAGCAAACAGAATTTGGGGCGCCACATGAACAGCAGAGGCTATTTGGGCATTAGAAAAGCCAAGACTTTGGAAAAAATTGGCAACCGAATGAGCCTTTTGGAGGGATTTCCCATGAGAGTAACGATTAGAGATTGAAACAGCTTGGGTTTCAGTGAAATCCAAGTTTTTTACAAGGTAATTGAAAAGGGGAGGATTCGAAACAGAGGTGGAAGAAGAATATGAGAGAATAAAAATAAATGATTTGGGTTTTAACGAAAAATTGAGAAAATAGGAAGTTGAGAAAATGGAAGATGATTTGAGGGTATGCATGGAAGTTTTTGAGGAATTCCCCGCAGGGGGTTTTAGGGTTTAAAATTCAATTTTCATCATGCAGAATTGCAGATTCAATTCCAAATACGTTCTCGATCAAGTAACGACGACGTTAAGAGTGGTAGGCCACATAAGCAGCGACGCCGTTTCAGGAAAAACAAACATTTTAATGGTGGGCTTTTATTTATTGGTCTAATTTATCATTTTGTTTCTTATAGATGACGCAATTTATGATAATTTGTATTTCTTTCCATTTGCAATCCTTATAATTTATCGCTAAAATTGGTACATGAAATTTATAAATTATTTTGATTTTAATCATTATTAACATTAATAAACTATAAATTATATATATATGAGCATACATAGATAAATCCAAGAATTTTTCTTTTCTGCATAGGGCCAAACTTGCTATATAATATTTTTCCTTAAAATTTTTTATATATTAATAATAATATCGCTTCGTTTATAAAATTGCAGCAAAAATACTAAGTTGAATTAAATCAAGACAATCTTTTATCAAAGCCTTTTTTTTTCTAACTTTATGATTAGTCCAAATGTATTCTAAAATTTAAAAATCTAATATTATATCAATACATCATATCATATGATTGTAAATTTAAAAAAAACTATGATACTTTGTTTTAAATTGGATATCCAACAAAAGGTAATTAATCTAGATCTTAATTATTCAATCATGTTAATTAGATATGATAAATCCATAAAGCTTGCGTTCAAACGAGAAAAGTTAAAGTACTAGAGAAGGCAACAAATGTATCCAGAAAATATACTCTTGTAGAGATTACATAGCCATTTTCTCATGGTTTGAGGGAGGACAAATTCTGCTGATTGTAACCGACATGCTTGGCACCTTCATGGGGTGGCCTGCTAGCAAAAACAAGGTCATATGTCTTGAGGAATAGCTCGGGAGCTTCAGGGGATGAGAAAACAAATACAGGCATCAGGCCAAAGCCTAATGGAATTATGGGGCCATGCTTGTGGGCTGACTGTTGAAGATCTTGGTGAGATTTGTTCCCCATCATGAAAAGGTTTCCAAAAATAGGAAGCCCTCTCGGACCAGGAGGTAATCTCTTATTCTTCTAATTCTCCCTTAATTTCCCCTTTTCTTTCTAATTTCTTCTATCTATATCTGATTTTACTTCTGACTTCTATACTCTATCTATTTTACCACGTTCTCTATCAATGTTGTTCTAATCTCTTGGTAATTCATTAATGTAATTTCGTCCACTCTTACAACATGGGGAATCTTTTGAGCATCAGCTTTCAATAGGCAAAAGGAAACTTCTTTGGCAACCAAAATAAAGAACCTTCCTGCATAAGCTTGATAAGAAATATCAACATTCCAAATTGCAAGCAATATAACATTGAATAAAGCAATTCAGAATCAGAAGCAAGGCAGTTGATTGCTTCTGATGCAGTAATGGGGCCACCTGATACAACACACTTGCACATTCATCATTAAATCGCAACCCAGTCTCTCCTTGCACCATCTGACTTTGGGTCAACCTTTTGAAGATATTCTGCTATTACCTGAGGCCCAACAAAAAGAGAGATAGGATCAGAATTTTCAACCTTCCTTAGTGGTTGTCATGTCCAAAACTGTACCTTTGAAGATCATCTCATACACAAGAAGTGTCTTAGTACTAAACGGTAGTGATAGCATAAATCATGTTTGCCGAGCAAATTTAAGAGTAAAGTGAATGTATCCAACGCCACAGAAGCTAAGAAACCATAGGCATGATGACATCATGATAAGAAGATAACATTATTCAGCTACGCTCTGAACAAACGGAAAAGATAATTTCAAAATAAATAGTAAAACTCACCCTCAGGTTTTTAAGATCAATATCATAGAGATCCTTTAAACCAGGCCTTTGTACTTTGATAACAACTTCTTGGCCCTTCAATTTTGCCCGATGGACTTGGCCTGCAAAAGAAAAATAAATAAATCAGTGAATTCCATTTAATCAACTAACACACTATTATCATATGCATGTTCTCACATTCCTTTATTGTTTAAACATGTTGAAGGCCATTTGTTTCTTCTGTTTTTGAACTGACGCTTCTATATATTTCAAACTCATTGATATTAATATTTATAATATGGGCATGGCTAAATTTAAGAAAAAAAAATAAAAGCAAAGAAAGCAAAATGACCAAGTTAGTTTACCTTGTACCACATGGAAAGAATATATTAATTTTTACAACATATAATGTAACAGAATAAAAGTTTGTGATGACAAGAAAGTTAACTCCAATTTGTTTATGGTTAAAGAGAGTGGTTTTGTGAAAATTTACCTTAAATAGGCACTTAATATGCTATGCGTGTGTGTAAAATAAAAAGTGGATGATTAATACAAAAATAAAAGAAATAAACTAAGAGACAAACATGTCCTTTTCCAAATATGAAGAACAGTTATATGGATCAATATTGTGTTATTGACAGCAATTTAAGACACATCCTTAGCAAACTTAGGTCACTTTTTATAAGTTCAAATGACGCCAATATTAGGGGAAAATAAGTTAAAGTAAAGCTTTTAATATCGGTAAATGGTAATACCAATCAATGTTTCTCTCATTTCTTTTAATGCTTTCTTTTGATCATGTGTTAAACGTAACATGTTCATACAAGTGTATGAAGTTATTTTTCTTCATGTATCTAATTACATAGGCATTAGATGCCACTTTAATGTGTCTTTAAACCAACAGAGTAGTAACAGTTCTTGGCATATTATCACATGACAGCATTAGATCATTAATTTTTAGGCATAGCTAGACTTGAACTAATCTTGAAGCATTCCCTATTTCAAAGTTATTTTTAGTCAAACTATTAACAAGTCCAATAAATTGGAAAGAGTTGGGAAATTATTTTTAAGGACATAAGTGAAGTGAAAGAAAACAGAAAAAAAAAAAGAGGAAAAAGAATTTGTTATGAATAATTGAATATACCACTTAGCACCAGATAGAACAAAATTCTGTAAAGCCTTCACGCAAAAATTGAAATATATGCATATGCGTTGTGTGTGTGTGTGTGTGTGTGTTGCATGTCTATACAATTTGAGATTTGACAATGGTCACACTAACGACATCATAATCCACCTTTTACCACTTGACCTTATGCAATGGCAAAAAACTTCCACATCAAAGAATCATAGATAACATTAAGATTAGCAAGACTAGCAGCAGCAATGGGTTCAAAGTCAAACCAGTCGAAGATACCATCTACAGGGCCTCCAAGCTCTTCATCAACAATAGATACTGCAGTCTCTGATGGAAAAGGTGGAACTTGATCCTGCACATGAATAGCAATTAGATTCTTACCTATAGAATTTTAAATTTAGAAACCATCTGGCCAGCAAAACGCTCTCTTTTTGGGAAAGGAGGTGGGGGCTAGAAGTAATAGAAAATTATGAAATGATTTTGTACAGAACCGCTCTATTTTAGATTTCTTTTAATGCCCTTCATCTTACCTACCTTGAATAAATTCTTCTCCAAGTAGAAGCTAACATCCACAATAAAAGAATTTCACCCAAAAAGTATAAAATTTTAAAGTAAAGGAACTTCAACCTGTAGCTCTGACAACTGATCAACATATTCTTGAGCAAGAATGTCAACCCTTGTGGAGAACAGTTGGCCAACTTTGATGAAAGTAGGACCCAATCTCAAGATACTTTCCTTTAACCACTTTGCCAGGGTCTTCCGCCTTAGAACTTTCTTTTCCTCAGTCATTCCTCCTGCATGAATGCAACCTTAAAACTGGATATATAACACCAACAACTAGAAACCATAACAACATTATAAGAACTAAAGAGAAGGCAATTAGAAACAACACACTATAACTAAAATGACTGTCCAAAAGCAAATTTAAAAACTAGTCCTGCTTCTTTGCAGTGCATGAAAACTAAATCAGTTGAACAAGGCATAGATTAGACCATTTTGCTTTAACAGTAAAAAACAAAAGGCAAGTCATATAGCCCTTAAATCTCTTTCAGAAGAAAACCTTTCTTTAGCAAAACTTTATACACAAAGTAATTTCCATACATGATAAATCATAATTGACATATCCATCATCTTAAACACTTCTAGCTCATCAATTTGAACAACTTTTGCATATTCAAAATTTTTTCTATTAGATATAGATTGTAATAGTTGGCTTGGCCCACTACTTAATTTGGTTTGTGTTCCCTAAAAAGCATTGCCAGGTTTTGCCAGCTATCACAATTTAAACATCAAAGGATTTATCTCAAGGACATAGGCCCAACCTTAAGCCACCCCTTAAACTTCCATATTCCACCATTGGTGCAACTTCCATATTCCATCAACCATCTAAAAAGACAAAAGGCAAAATAACAAAGGATCTCAAGAAAAGTTAATACCCTGATAATGTTACTGAATACTGGATCATGTCAACAATTCAAAACCAATTCCTTTCGCAAATTAGCAATTCTATTTATATATGCAACACAGGAATATTAATTTTATTCAATAAAAGGTAAAACAATGAATTTGTCATGATGCATTCTTTCACAAATTCCATAAAATATAGCTCAGGAGCTTCAGGGGATGAGATAACAATTACAGGCATCAGGCCAAAGCGTAAGGGAATTATGAGGCCATACTTCCGGGCCAACTGTTGAAGATCTCGGTGAGGTTTGTTCCCCATGATGAAAGGGTTTCCAAAAATAGGAAGCCCTCTCGGACCAGGAGGTAATCTCTTATTCTTCTAATTCTCCCTTAATTTTCCCTTTTCTTTCTAATTTCTTCTATCTATATCTGATTTTACTTCTGACTTCTATACTCTAACTATTTTACCACCTTCTCCAGCAATATTCTTTTCATCTCTTGGTAATTCATTAATGTAATTTCATTCAGTCTTACAACATGGGGAATCTTTTGAGCATCAGCTTTCAATAAAGAACCTTCCTGCATAAGCTTGATAAGAAATATCAGCAATCCAAATTGAAATTAATATTTATAATATGGGTACGGCTAAATTTAAGAAAAAAAATGCAAAGAAAGCAAAATGACCAAGTTAGTCTACCTTGTACCACATGGAAAGAATATATTAATTTTTACAACATATAATGCAACAAAATAAAAGTTTGTGATGACAAGAA